GCTAATTATGTTATGATATCCCATCAATGCATCAATAATTTGCATTGGTATAAGCTAAAAATATCAAATCACTTTTTTCTACCAACTTGGTCTATGGGAGGCCACCTCTTTCACATAGACAAATGCAAAAATCCAAATAATGTTCGAACATACAAGTGAAAAATCACTGTGCATGGAGACAACACAGTACTACTGCAAATTTTGACCTTACGTCCTTACCTTTCCATATCTGAATCACTGCCATTTCTGAATCTTGAAACAAATTTCACAAGAAGTTGCTTGAAATTATTCAATTTTTTTACCTTTAATTCATAGATTCAATGTGTTGGATATATGTGGAGTATTTGGGTGAAATTACTAGTAACTTTTGAGGAGGAATGATATTCGTCTTACATAATGTGTGGTTAAAAATAAGTAGTAGATACATATGTATGATTGAAAGAAGAGATAAGAGGATATTGAAGATGCATGATGAAGGTCTATGATGCGGCACAAAGCATAGAAAGGTTCATGAAATATGAAGTTGATCTTTTTTAACTCTTTACATCTCGGTCTTCTCGACTAATAAATTTCTTGAATTTAACTTTGTTGGCTTGGAGGTCAAGTCGTACGTGTCCCTTCAAAATTTGTATTATAAAAATATTTTCATATCAATAAATATTTCACCGTACAATCGGTGAAATTTAAAAACAAAACAAAACAAAAACCAAAAAGATAAGAGGGTCGTATGGAAAATGTGGTTAGAAATCATAGTAGAGTCAGAGTACAACGACAAAACAAGGATTATTATATAGGATTACATGGTGGCTAAAATCAAAGAAAAAGTAGTGTATAGTCTTATACATGTACATAAAAAGCAATAAAAGAGAGCATAATGATGAAAAAACTAGTAGCTTACAACCACTAACTGTGGGATAAGGGATACCGAATGCTTAAACCATCCTACAGAAAGAGAATATTTGGTACGTGGACGAAACTGAACTCGACTAGACTAGGAAAGTGAAATCGTGTTCAATCTAACGTATCATACACGGCATTGTTATCAGTTGGACTCTGGATTTGGACCGCTAGGGACTTCATGTGCAGCTGCCTTAAAATCTTGATTTGTGGTTTGTCTTGGATGCAACTTCATGGTGAATCGCTTGCTTGGTGCAGAATTCAGCAAGACTCGGTCAATTGATGCTGAGGAACCCCCTAATGTCACCGAGAAATCTAGATGGCGAGCCGAGACCGGAGAAATCAAGATTAGTAGAAGAAAAAAGGAAGTTCTTGCGAGCATTTGCAAGAGTTTTTGAGTATTTTTGCTTGTTTTTGCCATGAAAATGTAACCAAGATAATCCAACCCCCACTGCCCTCAGAATTGAAATCAATATCCATGAACAAACTGGATTTCTCCAAGTTTGATGCAATGGAATAACAAGAAGAAAATTGGAGATGCAATAAAATTTACAATAGACTTCCTTAGTAAGAGATTTATAGGAACATCATGTGACTACTTCTGAAACTTACAATTTTGTCCATCTCTCATTTTTATTTCCAAGAATACCCTTGATAGGGAAGAAATCAAGTTATTTAAAAGATGTTTTTGTAAGAGAATATTTTACATATTTAGATATTTTTTCAGATGCATTGTCGATGCTAAGTAGCAACCAAAAATTTGTATCCATTCTTCCAGATATTGCGCATGGATCAACTACATCGTGACGTTATTTGCATTGTTCTTGATCCTTGATTGTCCGGATCAACCAAAAATGTTTGGGAGTACTTTCTACTTAATCATTGTTCTTCTTATTGCTTGATATTTGGTTCGTACAATTTACAAAATTTTAATTATTCATAGTGTGAGGGTCATTTCTTAAATTATTTTATGCGGCTCAAGCCAAAACTAAATTAATTACGAATTATTCTTGGTGTATAGGGGTTCTCACATAACCCCTCAGAACACTCACAAAATGCGGGATCCATCTCAATAAAAAAGTAGAAAAAATTTACCTCCTCTCCCCCTCTGTGAGTGTTCAATAATTCATTAATTAATAACTTCTGCAATTCAATTGAAAACAAAATCATTGACAGGTTCCAATCTCAGCTTTAGCTTTTGACTTGGTCTTGTAAGTAAAAGGCTAAAGCGAGCAAGGAATTTGTTGCCTTTGCAAGACTAATCTCAAAGTTTATTCCCCAGATTGGGTGTCATTCAAGAGTCAAATTATAAGAATATAATCAGCAGTATTGCACACGAAAGTGAATAATACGTTAAACTCCTTTTCTTTTTTCCATTTTTCAATCTCGATTAATTAATGCATACCAAACATTGACCCATAAAGACGCTTCCTTTGCTACAATAACACAACGTAATTTTACACGGATAGACTGTATATCGTTATTTCTTTCGTCAATGATTGTCAACGATATTTCTTAATCATATATTAATTGTTTAGTTTATTAAAAAAAAATTGGAAAGATTTTATTCTTTTTAAAGTCAATCGAAAAGGTAAGTATTTATTCATAATCAAATAAATATAAGATATACAAAGGCAAAGAGCTTGACCCCGAGTCAATGAGATTACAATACAAAAAAATTAGGAAGATTTTAGTCACTCCTATGAAATAAATGCACATTATTTAAGGATTTGAACAACTCTTTTTTAAAAATTTGATCTTTTAAAATGAAACTCATAATATTAATATGGTATTGAAGTTCGTTACTCTCCAACGAGCAATTCAATCAAATCAGCACACGAATTCTAAAATTGGTGTTCTCAAATAAGCCACCATCTTGTAGAGGCATGTTAAACATAAATCCTGCATCTTATACCGATAAAATGAATACACAATATATAAGAATTGGACTACTCTAATGCGTTAATATCTAGATAACCTTGCGACCCTCTCATCGAAAAAATAAATAAATAAAACCTCATTTCTTGTAATTTTCACTTTAGTTCCAAAAATCGAGAAAAAGAAGCAATAAAGGGTAGGAGTACTATAGAGGCTTTTTCTTGTTGGAATCTTGCCCAAGAAACCTGTGTACTTTGACTTGGAAATTATATGGTCCATGCCTTTTTTATCATATAAAATGCAAAAATTAAAGGATGTGAAGAACAAAAAGCAAAGCAATCCACTGATTTTTTGCATATGAAAAGTTGTAGCACTTGTTCCCTTGATTGAATGCACAGGACCCACTATTTTTCATGTACGTGTTTTGGGTTACTACAAGAAAATAAAAAATGGACCCCACGCAAGTTGATAGCGTTGTTAGACGGAGTAAAACACACGTATACAGAGTTTTGTTTTCTTTGTATCCGTATGACTTAATTCATTTTGGGTCTTTTGACGCTAGATCATTAGATCATAGTCGTTCGTACATTTTCTCATTTGTTTGTCCGAGTTTGCTCAGTGTATTTGCATTGTTCTTGATCCTTGATTGTCCGGATATGTCCAGTATACTTGTATATGTATTTGATCTTTGCTTATTAAGGAATGTCTGGTATATTTGTACATGATTTTTTATCAATATATTTCACATTTACCGATGAAAAAAGAAAAGAAAAGCTAACATGAGATTTCTTGATTGAAAATGCATGATGCTATTTGTCATCTCGAGTAATAAAAATGCATGATGCCATTTCTTAGTGAACTCGAAATATGAATATTGAATGCCAGCTAGATGCTCGATCCCCTTGTAATAAAACATATATATCTATAATTGATTGGAGACCATATGCCCGTCCAACATTATTATACATGCCAACATAACAAAGATAATCCGATAATAGAATAATAAGAACTTGTTTTCTTTACCATTTTTAAGTCGTTTTCTGTTTTCGATTTTTCAAAAAATGTCTCTTTCCTATTTTCGAAAACACGTTTCTGAAAACAAGTTAAAATTTTACAAAAAAATCATTTTGAGTGTTTTCAATTATAATCAAATCAAAATTTTCAAAACGCGTTTTGGGTATTTTAAAAATAATTTTTCAAGATGCCAAAAAGAACATATTTTCAATAATCTCAAAATGGACACTCAAAACACAAAATCCAAAATGAATTCAAAACTCAAAACACAAAATTGAAATACAAAGAGAACAGCCACTTTTCACAAGTACATTTCGTGTTTCTGCAAAAGAGAGTAAATTTTGAAAAATGCTGTGTGTAAGTGTTTGTTCCTGTAGTTCCCAAGTTACTTCACTTTTCCAGTCACGCATATGGGGAACAAACAAAAGAGTTTAGTACTTCCGAAGTGGTTTGGAGAGATTATTTGACGTAAAAAATAATTAATTTTTTTTTCAAAAAATAGTTAAAAATAATGAAAGTTATGAATTCGATGCAAAATCGTTTTATTGAAAAATGTAAAATTAAAAATAAATTTGAAAACAAATGATTTTCAAAATATTATGTGCCAATAAAACACTAAATTCCGAAGTTTTTGTCATCCTTTATTTAAATCTAATACCATCGATTGCTCAAGTGATGGCAAAATCTTACATAATCAAAACAACTAGATGATACTCATTCTTATATACTCACATAAATATGAGCTTTGCTATTTGTACAAAAATAGATATACAAGGTTCGTACAGGGCCACACTTACATTTTTTTATTGGACATTGGCAAAAAAAAGGAAAAAATGAAAAACAAACAACCATACAGGTACTGCCAACGCAGCACCTGTAACTCCATTGGCAGTTAAATCCATAAATATGGTGAAAATGCGTGGATCAAAGTATAAACGTTTAATTTGAGATAATAGTACGTAAAATATAGCAACAAAGTAATCAAACTGACAATATACAATAGCATGCATCGACTTGAATTCGAAATTCACTTCACCAAAAGAAGAATGAATGAATTACACCCCGGGGATATATCTAAATAAAACTGCAAGTTATACCTACATTGATATAACTGCGACTTAATGAAAGAAACTTAAACTTCCCCAGAAACCTCCATCTGAATATATGGGACGATGATCCAAGGAAGCAAACTTTATGTATGACCTTACAAATCAGCACGAACAATGGAATACAGAATTGTCAAAGCACTTTGCTTTGCTCGTGATCTTCCTAACGCCTGTTCCATTATGAGAAGAATTTACAGTTTGCGGGGACACAGCGATCCTGTCCATTACATTGACCTTAGGGGCCTCGAGTATAGTCTTGGTTGACGATAATGCAAATTGCATTCCCCATATTGAAAGCGGCCTCATATATATAAGAGACCGGAAGTGCCCACCGATGGTCCATGCTTCTGGAGTTTGAAACGAGTATCTGCACCAAAAAGCAAACATTTGATTCTAATTAGTGCTTGTTTGGGAGAGTTTAAATTATAATTTAAGCAGCGGATCCCACATATTATGGATTAGAAGTTGGCTTCACCAAACATTTGCAACACAGTGAAATGAGAATGAAAATTACACAAAACTCCTACGAGATTACATAACTTACACGAATCCCTCTTCTGACCAGCCTGCAATAAATATACCTTCTGCTGTAGTAACGGCCTGCTAACTCCTACGAGATTACATAACTTACCCGAATCCCTCTTCTGACCAGCCTGCAATAAATATACCTTCTGCTGTAGTAAAGGCCTGCTCCTTCATCCCGGCAAGAATCATGGTTGCAGCAACTCCATAGGTCACTCCGCCCCATATTTCCCGGGACTGCATGCAGGTCTCGTCCACCTTTCCATTTGGATGCATTCCATTTACTGCACCCATCCTGCCCCCTCGGACTTTCATAACATTGAAGTCGAAGATTTTCTGAAGAGCGCTTTGAATCTTAAAACTATCAAAAAGATCGGGCAAGCCTGAAGATGCGGTATACCACTGTCCAGCCAGTTGATCGGCTTGGATTGATTTACTGTTACTGCTCGACCCACTATCATAGTTAAAGTATGAGCCGTTCCAAAGTTTTTCTTCGAATGCAGTTTTGGCCTTAATAAATTTATCTTTGCATTTTTCTGCAAATGAAGTGTCACCTAGTTGAATGGCCATTGCTGCTGCAGCTTGAAGTGCAGCAAGCCATAAGGAACCACAGTAAGCACTTATCCCATGAACAGTCCAAGTGTCGTATGTTTGATCTGGGAATCCATCATTCTCAATAAGACAATCATTATCCCGATCAAATTGTTCCATGTATTCCATTGCAGCACGGACAGCAGGCCACACTTCTGCTCCGAAAGAGAAATCCCCCGTTGCCGCAAAGTCTCTATACACCTGGAGCACAAACTTTGGGTTCAAATCCTTCCATCTACTAGTGTCATGTATGTTATATGCATTCATTTCATGCCATGGATCGTGTGTACCGAGATCGTGAGGAATGGCTCCTCTCACCTTGCGGATCCCCCAATTCCCCTCTGACAAAAACTTCACTTTTCTGCCATCCTCACATAAAACAGCTTTTGCAAATTCACGTTGAATACTGAGTTCAATTTTCGGGAACAGCTCAAGAAGGGCAAAAGATGCATAGAAGTGCACATCGTATGTACACCACATAATATATTCCACGCCTTCCAAATAAAGAAACCTACCTACATCATCACTATCGTTCACAGGGTCCATCGCTTTGTTATTGGAAGTAAAACGACTGCTCACTTCACCATTCTCAATAGTACCCAAATTGTCTTCATCAACAGACCTGCTAGAACCTTTATCTGCAGCAACTCTTGCTTCAGTTATGTCGGCATCTTTATCGTCCATGATTACTGACTTAATAACCATAGAATCCGTGGCTGGGATTCTAGAGTCTGTATTGAACAATAAAAGCAGCAATGATGACATTTTTATAAAAAATCAATGAATATTTGTTGAACTACCTCATCAAACGCCTAAGCTATTATAGATGGGACAAATTTATTTATTTTCATCACGTATTCAACAGTATTCAACAATGTCACAAGCGAGAAACAAAAGAAATATGGAAAATGAAAAGTAAGAGAGTGCCATAGCTACCCATGGTTCCAACTTGAATTTTTTCTAATATGAATTCACTAAAAATCAAGTTATAATTTTGGGTCGCTAAAATTTAACAAACTTTAGGGATCAATCATATGTATTTTTTGTACCACATGCACCATGCCCATTATCGTGTCTTGTGCACAGACATGGTGCATGTAGAGAGGTCTACATGGTAAAGTGCATCTTCAAGACTAAGGCATTCTTCCAACATTAATTTATTTTTTAAATGAGCTGTGATCTACTAGCTAAAATACTCAAACAAAACCTTTGTACTTAATCCAGCTTCTTAAAACTGTAAATGCTTAATCTCGAGACACATTTTTCGTTTCAACTCTTACCCTAAACCTTTTCGTTCTAATTGGCGTACAGGCTGGATAATTCAGTTAACTTAAATTCAATAAAGAAGCAGTGAACATGACAACATAAAATAAGCAGCCAAGGATGGATTAGTACCGATCCAAACTGTTCCTCCAGCAACCAGAAAATAGAGCTCATTGAACAGGGTAAACTTGTACCTGCAAAGCATCAAATGGACCACGTTGCATTCAACAAAAAATGCACAGGAAATGGGAACTCCTACGTAAACAAGCATTGACTGTGACTTGAGTAGTGAAAGGTCTCAAGTGTGGCCAAATCTTAATTTTAGGAGTGGAAAAGAATATTAAAATGACTTTCTGAAGGAGAAGCAAGAAACTAAATCCAACAAGAATGTGTAAATGAATGTTATTTTGCTAAAGTTCCTGCAAGTTGTTATTATTCCACTAATGAGCTTTGCATAAAACATTGAGGCGGACGAAAGGTATCTGGCACAAGCAAAAAGAAAGGGCGGTGGGTCTTTGCCATCAATCATATACGTGCCACTCTGTATGCGTGTCTGCACACGCCTTTAACCTTACAAATGTCAAACTTTCTTCCATTTATCCCACAATAAGTCTTGTAATGGCAATGCCAAAGGCATATATTTTGACACTCGAACATGAACCTTGGCTCACAGCAAATAGAAGGGCATCTTGAGTCTCATCTCAAGAAACCAATAGAGTACTGCCAAAAGCACTTTTTTACTTGACAAGTAAAACTAATGTCACTAAATGACAACTAGTGTCCTGGAATGAAAACAGTTCAACTATGGCTTACCATTCTGGTAGCTTGTCATCTCTGAGGATAGGATTCTGCCATTTCTCAATCTCTTCTTCCCACAGCTTATAATCTGGTAAAGATTTCAAAACGGTAAAGAAATAAAAGCAGCAGATCATAAAACTTGACATTCTATGAGGCCAGATATTAGTGGTGATACTTAATTTTAGAATTTGAAGGAATCAATCCAAGAAATAGTTACAATGAATGCAACTACGGAAATCAAGCAGCTCGAATATATCACACTCACTTGTCAGTGCATCGTGCACCAAGTCTTTAGCGGCGCTTTCCGAAGTGCCATAGTATTTAGTGTACCTCCTGGAACCCATGGAAAAACCAAGGGAAAAGGAATAATAAAAACTTGCATCCAATTATCTGAACTATATTCCTAACTCTAATCCACCAAAATTGTTCACAATCATAGTTAGCAAATGAAAATATACACAAGCTTGCCAGTGGGAATCCATAACAGTGAAAAGATAAAATTTCTATGAATTAACTAAAATTAATGCATTTGCAAGATCAAAAAGTCCCTGAAAAATGAGACAAATTATGCTGTAGCATCTAGTCTAAAATATTGAGATGAATTGCATCACATCTCTTCTCTTATATTTGGTTTTTGTCCTTTCAGTAACAAATAATTGAAATATTAACGAGCTGAAACAAACCATATATAAATATTGTCTGAAAGGATAAACGGTAGATGTCTTAAATGTACTGATACCTAATCATGTTCAGGGCAAAAGTCTAAATCACAAACAGGTGCCAGGCCATCCAGATGTTAAAATTGCTTCAGAGATCTTAATTACCTATTATAGGATTTCCCTTTACAAAATTTAACTTTAGGAGAAGACCATGCAACAGCAAATGCAACAGTGCACTTTCCATGAGGCTCAACCCATGTAGAAGCAGAAACTGCTGCACAATGTGTCTCTCCAGGTGAAGATGGCATGGTTGGCCCCTTATTAAAGTTCTCCAAATGCCCATCCTAAAAACGCAGACACCTTAGTCACAATATTAAAACAAAGTAAAGCCAAAAACTCAAAGCCGAACTCCAACAGAAAGTTCAATTGAATGTATAAAAAAAAATCCATATTCAGAAAAAATATAAAACAAGCCACCCAAATGTAAAAGTCAAACAGCTCGCTGTGAAAACAAAATATGATAAGTCAACATGGTTCTGAATCATTACCTCCGTCATTTTATGCCACATATCTTTTGCTGTTATGCCACTTCCTTCGGTCAAGCCAAAACAAGGCAAAATTGACACACTAACGTTCTGAGTTTCACATGCAGCTATGGCATAAGTAACAGGAGGGTTATCTTTTGCTGTCCTGAAATTATTATTACAAAAAAGGAAGAGAGAGCAGTCTTTGTTAACAACTAACCACGTTAAACAAAATGGTGGGCGCCAATGTAAATTTTTGTATTTCCTTAATAAAAGTGCAGGTTTTCCATTGTCATTCTTTGCTTGATTTGTTCACTTTCCATAAAAATTATGAGATGAATAAACGAATTGCAAAAAGGTGCAACACTTTGCAGACAAAAAGCACAGGAAGATTTTAGGCTTGAAATGCCCAAAACACCGATATCCAGATGTAATGTACCAGAAGGACAAAGCATATATTTGTATAACTTTCTTCTTGGTTGGGGTGTTAGGACTACTGATCAAAGATATGTCCTTTGGACCATTTGAAAACAATATAAAAACACAAAGAACACAGAAAAATATATTCAAATAATCAAATATCATCAAACATTAGTCAAATATTGATCAACTCAATCTGATAGTGAAAAGCAGGTGTGCAATTGTCAAAATGATCTATCAAGTCGGTTGCCTATTTCGTAAGTCAAATCTACAAATATTTTCGATATCAAATGCAGTTTTAAATCCAGTAAAAAATGGCCAATCGTAATAACTTAGCTACTCTAATGTTTTAGACAGTCATAATTTATACAGAGGTAATAACACAAATCTTTCATTTTTGGTGGATTTATAGAAATTAGCCAATCACACTTGCAAAACATCAATGCTTTTCTCATGACCACAAACTGAAAATCATAGTCACCCTACTCTATTTTAGAAGGTTATGAAATCCAGAAAGTTCCATCCCTTCTTGGATGAGTAACTAGTATCTTGTTAATGCGGATTAGCAAGACCAGTAGTCTACCACACTCATGGAACAAAGTTTTTCACATGACCACAAACTGAATATCATAGACACCCTGCTTGATTTCAGGAGGCTATAAAATCTAAAACATTTCATCCCTTCTCAAATGAGCAACTCGTATTTTGATAATGCAGGACTACACTTCAACCCGTGAAAACAAATTAACAATCAAATTTTCCTACTTGATTTAGGAGATTAGCAGATCTGTGCCTTCTTCAAGAATTAAGCAAGAGAGAACAAGATATAAATATTTTATAATAACTGGTTAGCATAGTTATGACCAAGGTTAATACAATCCTGCACAGATTAGTCCCTCTTCCCTTCCCAGTGTAGGTATGTGAGTGTGGGTAGTTAGTTAAATCCAAGGATATCTGGCAGATTTCATTTGCTATTTTGATAATTTTCCCAAAGATCGAAAAGGTTAGTATGAATTAAAAATATAAGGAACCAGGATGACTATAAAGCTCATCATCAGAAACAAAAACTGTCAAAAAATAATTTGAGTCATTTACCAGATAATCATTAGAAATATCAGAAAGAAAAAAAAAAGTGTCAGAATTAACTCTGCTAACTAAAAATTATTGCAGCACAGTTGAACAACTTTTGGGTAAACAGATTTTCTTTATTCAATATAAAAAATAAATCCTTTACAGGTAATTGATCAATAAAACAAAGAACAGGAGTTAACCATTTTTTTTGTTCCAAAAACTTATTTTTGGCACAAACTGCATTTTATAAGGGGCACGCTCCTCTTTTTTTCTCCTGTTTAGTTATAAGTCCATACTTATAGAAGTGAATCTGAAGTTAACCGAGCATGTTAATTACTAAAATCACCCTTTCACTTTGTAAACCTACAACTCGAAGATATCCAGGATTAAGTTATGAACTAACTTTTGTCCATATTTAAATTTTCTTTTTTATTATAAGAACTGAGTCAACTATCAACATCACTGTTGCCTATTTAAACATTCAGACAATCAAAGAAATATATGCAAACCAACAGTCACATATAGCTATAAAGTTTGATGACTTGCTTGTGATGTAGCAGTACGCCTGAGACTCCGTCTTCTCCTCTACAAAAAGAAGTTGGAAAAGCCAGAAAAATGAAGCATCATAATCAAAACCAAACCATGCAACATTGATAAAACAATAATGCATTGAAGGTTCTCACATAAATGGCTCATTCACATGACCTCCTGACAGGTGGGAGATACCTCCAATTGAATTCTGAATAAAAAACAAACAGCTATAACGGAATATACAAGCACTTGGCCAAGTTCTCTAACTGCCGAGACTACAGTAATTATCAGCAGAAATACTTACAGCCCATGTAAAAAGAAGGCTGACCTTTGCCCTTTCCTTGCCAGTATTTACCAACTAGAACAGAAAACATGCCATATAAGTGAAGTGAATAATTAATATCCGTCATGATTCAGGAACTAACTTAATTACAAAGTTAAATGTGTCGATAGAATGCATCTTTATCATTCTTCCGACTAGATCATTACAAACCATCGAATTATGGGTCTTCATTAATCGAGGAAAAGTCATACAATATTTTCGCATGTTGAAAACGTGCAGGAACAAACAAACAAGACTTTTGAGAACAGTTAATAGAGGTCTTGCAAATTCACCTTTATGCAATAAAGCATGACTTGAAAGTAAGCCCATGTTTGTGCTCCATTTTATTCAAAATGTATTTTTCTCTTCCTTGTTTTCAATCACACATTCTCCAATAAAATAATATTACAGGTAAATCCAAAAATTTTC